CGTCGGTCGACCGGCTTACGTCACTTCTTAGTACACACTCTCGGTGCGAATGCAACCCTTCAAATGGTACTGGGAAATAATTCACGCAAAATCGTCCCAGTACTTTAGTACTGTACATTTAGTTCTGGAACTAAAGCGGTGCGAAAGGCCCTCATGTTAATGCTATGTTACACAGTATTTTGAGTTCTTTGTGAACCATGTGTACCATAGTATTACCAGAGTACTTTTTTCTAAGAAGAGTACACATAAGCGCATGTAATGAATTTACTAATAAAGCAGTATACAGAGTAATGCATTAAAGCAAGTGAAAGGAGCAGTGTTTTCACTGTTGCTGTTCCACTAAGCTTCATCTCTATTCGAGGGCATGGAAAACTGTCAGCTTGGATGGGGAGATTCCTGCTCTGCTCTCATCTCTGTGTCTGAGGGTTGGATTCCCTGCTGGAACGGCAATCTGCTCTCCCAGCTGGGACCTGTGTGTGTGTGTGGGTTTGAGAGAGATAGAGACAGAACAGAAGTGGAATTATGCCTGTCTATGGCATTCATTATGATGCCAGCTATTGCCTACTGGCTTGGTTTGGTTTACATGTTCTTCAGTTAATCAAACGGCACAAATGCTTGGCCACTTTAGCCTCCTGTTTCCCACCGTTTTTGCATGTTACTGAGTGTGTTTGTATTGCAGTTTGATCCATTTACAAGTTGTCATGACTGACGCACCTTGTTTTCCTGATAAAGGGCTCCTATGGAGTTGTCAAGCTGGCGTACAATGAAGACGACAACATGTACTATGTGAGTGACTGACGCAACACACTCTCATGAACTTGCACAAGTATATAGACACTTCATGTGTGAAGAGTAAAGAGCTAACATCCTAGTGTTATCAGTAATCATTAAATTATGATTGACTAGTTGAGGTCATCTTCAGCAGCCAGTCTTAAAACGGTCACATATGGCGCTTTTCCACTGCGTGGTACGACTCGGCTCGGCACGGCTCAGTACGGCACGGTACGGCTCGGCTCGGTTTGCGTTTCCACTGCAGTTTAGTATCGCTTTAGAGTGGGCGGGATTATTCACATGTCGTTAGTTGCGCCGCCTCTACTGCCGCGACTCCTGAAAAACTTTTTCATTCCGCGTCGCCCCATCAAGCTCTCGCTGGATCCGCTCCTCTGCTATCAACGAGAGGAACGTCTGTACTTCCTCAACAGACAACGAAACAGACAATTTTTGGTTGTTAAAAAAGGTGCTCTCGTTCAAAACGGTTGCGTTCGATCCTTCGCTGGCTGTGCTGATTTAAATCTAGCGGTTCTGTTGTGTTTGTGTCGCAAGTTCAGTGATGCAGGTAGTGACGATTCTCTCCGGCCAACCCGTGATTAACAGAGTTTACACGTCACGTTTTGGTAATGGTACGGTTCACTTGGAACCTCAATCGAGGTGGTACTAAAAAAAGTACCAGGTACCAGGTACTGTACCCAGTGGAAAAACACCCAAAAGTGAACCGTACCGAGCCGTACCGTGCCGTACCATGCAGTGGAAAAGCGCCATAAGACACTGTCCATTGAGAAGTTCCTCCTAATGGGTTCAAAAATCATAATTATGATGTGATTTTAATTGAAGTAAAATTCATTTTAGCACTAGTGTATCAAAACAAAGAGCAAAGTATACCACAGTGAATGATGGGAAATGTAGAATTGCTGCACAAGCCATGGACTCATAATTAGGGTTGGGCGATGTCTACAAAATTGGCATCGGACGATGTCTACAGTGAAACATCGCGATGGACGATGACATCGGCGGG